GGGGGAGGGCCAAACATCCAGAGCAGTCTAATTAAGGCATAGTCAGATTTACTGACTATTTGAGAATATAAGTCACACTCATGAAGATTCAGTGCTGTCTGCTGGCTTCCTTGGGTACCAGGAACCATGTTCATGTAGTACATGGACATACATGCAGGGAAAAGATCCACCTTCATAAAATTCAAATATTAAAACAAAACCATGCTGGAGAAAACTATGGACAATGCCATATTTGAACCTATATTGTCTAATGGTGATAATGGGCAAAAAAAAAAAAAAAAATCATTTCAGAGATTGCTGCAGAATGAAGTGAATCCTACCATGGTGAACTCAAGAATAATGTCTCCTAGACTCAGTATCAAAGGAAGTGCTCCACATACAGTATATACAAGGGTGAAAGGGTAAAGAAAAACTATATATGTAGCTGACTCCAAAAAGTAGGCCTACTACTTGAAGCTTCCAGACCCAGACTGCAATGCTACCATTTTGTTTGGATGACAAAGAGATGCTATCATCTTATTTGCCATTTCTCTCTCACTCTTATCCCACTAGCTCCCCTCCCCAGTGTGTGTGTGTGTGTGTGTGTGTGTGTGTGTGTGTGTGTGTGTGTGTGTGTCTGTGTGCTCATATACACACATGAAGCCTGAGATTGATGTTGGGAGTTAATCCCCATGTCTTTCTATCTTCTTCAGTGGAGCAGTCTCTCTCAATCAAGCTCCAAGTTCTCCCAAACAGCTAGTTTTGATAACCATAGCTCTGGGATCTCCGGTTCCTGTCTTCCAAGGTTGGTAGTTACAAGCAGACCACTGTGCTGTCTCAGCATTTTTATGGTTTCCAAGGATCTAAACTTTGGTCTTTATACTTGTGCAACAAGTGTTCTGACTGTTGAATCATATTGCCAGTCCCATGACTTTTGCCTGGTATTTATAATGGAAAGATAGCAGAGTCAAATAAAGCACACCGCCTACTGGTCAAACAAGATGTCTAGGTCCTATCAAAAAGCACCATATTTGGATCAATGTCATCATACACACTGGAAGCTGTGTTCACTGGCTAAGAGCTGGTTAGAACGCCTATGTAGATTCACAAGAAGAACAAAAGAGGTAATGTAACACGATGTCTGTGTGCTCTGCAAGCCTTTAAAGAAATCCACACCCCCAGCTCCTACCCCCGGGCTGATGACCATATCTTAGGAAGAGCACACTTGCTCTCCGCTTGTGGGTACTCACTGTGATGGAAGAAGAGAGGAGAGAGAGAGGGACTTCTGAGAAATAGCTGAAGAGGAGCTGAAAGACTTGGGCTGCCTTCTTTCCGATAGAAGCAGAAAATTCCTAACCACTCGACTTTCCCAAATTGGCCTCTGCTTCCCTGAAATGCGTGTTGTATGCTAGCTTCACAAAGAATGTTGGCAAGGCAGAGTAGGAAGGTCTGAAGCAAGAATACTTGGATGGCTGACACTTTCCTTTCCAGTGGGGTGGGGTGAAGCAGCTGTGGCCTCTGTATAGCTGGCCAGCAGGGAGTCATGCAGCCATAGGGAAAAGGAGCTGTCTTCCCCTGGGAGTGAGAGCAGGGTCTGATAAAAGTGCTGCACTATCTGCAAGCAAGAATTAGAAAGCAAGCATAATCTCTTTCTTCTTTCTTTGTGATACAATCCTTTCGGGAAGGCAAAGGAAACGCCTGCATTCTTGTCCCTGTATGTCCTTGTTCTAGAGTTCCAAGGAGCATGAGGTATCAACAAAGCACTTTCTAAAAGCTCCCATTTCCAAATGTCAAATGCTTCAAATCCAAACACTTCTGCAGACAGCCACTCCCTAAAAGTGTGTGCTTTGTTTGAACCTATTAGATATTCGTAGCTTACCAAAACAACTTGGTATATGTTGATGGCCTTCAAATGTCCTGAGCTAGTCAACTGCCACCCTCACCAAAAACCCTACCCCCCCCAAAAAAGTGGATAAATCTGTATTACTTAACCTCAATAGCTCAAGCATTTTTTAAGACAGAAGCATTTATCTTAAGTAACAAAAGGACCCTTTTAAAAATCAACTACACTCTTTACTCAACCCTAAAGAAATAAATATTTGGACTGATTTCTTTAAAAACAAAACAATGTTGGCTCCACCATTAGGAAGAAAACTTGTGACTATTCCATATTCTCCTTGCAGCTGGCAGATCCTGTTCAGTAACCCAATTGCTAGTCCTTCCTTTTCTGTCATAGTGTGAATTAAAAAGAAAAAATCCTCAAAGAAAATGGATGATAACAGCAGAAAAACCCAGGTTAGCCTGGCACCATGCCACCCTGCTTTGCCAGGAGGATAACAGGCTGACGGCTGACTTTCCTACAGCGATCACTCCTTGTAACCCAAGAAAGATCAACACTGACTGCTTTGGGATACTACCCAGCACCTCTGCTGGCTTATTGAGGGACAAGCATGTGACTCAAGGGCAGATTTTTGTTGGCTGAGTTCTCAGACACATCTTCAGGAATCCTTTCTTGACAGAAGACCTGGCTTTAGCCATCTATTGCCAGCTCTTGACCTTAGGGGTCAACTGGGACTACTACAACCATAGTGGGCCACAAAACCAAGAGCAAACAAACAGGAACAGAGCTCTGACAAAGTATAGGATCAGTTCCAAAGCCATGCAAGAAGCTCCCCGATTTATGAGACCTCAGGAGGTAAGACAGACAAAAAAAGCCCAGGCTTTGCTTCCTAGTTAGAAGTCAGTCCTGTGTAGGAAAGTTCACACAGCCTCATCTCAAAATGCCCTGACTATTGCTTCCCCCAAATATGCTGTGTGCTTGGGCTTATTGAAGTGGTCATCTCTGTTATAGCCAGAACCATGCCTATGAAGAGAGCCATCTGACCCTTTTGCCTACTCCTTAGTCTCCACCCCTCTGCTTTAGGGAAACTCTGGACAACCCCTCAAGATCAAAACCTTATCACTGTGTTCTACATTAAATACTGGTATTACCACATCATTCTAGAACTTGCCCCTCCCTTCTGTCTCACTGTTGCCTACAACTCCAAGGGTGGCTGGGAAGGGAAGAGCCTCACAAGAGGCCTTCATTTAAAAAAGTCCTAGTTAGTGGCTCTACCCCACTCCCGAATGTGCTGTCCATTGTTCCTGGCACTACACATCAGGAATCTTACTATATTTTCCCAGTACAAGCTGAAGTCTTAATTTTTTAAAAATCGTATTTATTTCTTTACTTTGCATGTGAAATCCAGAGGACAATGAGTGGGAATTGCTTCTCTCCTCTCATCATGTGGGCCATGGAGACTGAACTCATGTCATTAGGCATGTCTACAAGTGGCTTTCCCACTGAACTACCTAAGGACTCTAGGTTGAACTTTTGACAAGGAACACATGCTTTCCGAAAAGTCTCCCCTTCATTCTGTTGATCCCTAGGGTGTGATTTAAGGGTCTCACCCAACTGGTGGCTACTTTTCCTCAGTCAGTTGCCTATTCCAGGCTCACTTCAACCAGTTTCTCCCCTGTGATTAATTGACTGGCCTGAATCCCACCTTCCGAGATCAACGCAGACCCAAACCAAAAGAAAGAGTGCAGCAATGGGCCAGAAACACATGGTTTTGCGGTCCTCACATGGTAGGTACCCAACGCCTCGATAGTCTAAGGCCCTGTGTGTGCCACATTAGGGTGGTACCCATCTCTCAATGCCACTGATCCAGCTCACACATGTAAGGAGCCTGTTCAGAAACAGCATGGCTTCCCCTGGAAGTCTCAGTAGTAACATGCTGTAGATTCTGCCACTACTGAGAAATGAGTGACAGGATGAAGAGGATACCAGCTCATCTAAAGGCTTAACCCCCTGATGAGGTCACAGTGCTGTGTCTTTGGTGGCAGGTTCCCCACTTGTCCTTGCTGCCTGCTGCTTTCTGGTCATGATGGGGTAAGTTGTTTCCTTCACCATATCCTGCTACCCAGAACCAGAGCAGCAAATCCAGCCAACCACAGGTGAAATCCTCAGAAACTGAGTAAAACACATGTTGATATGCTTAGATAGTCTGACAGTGAGATCTCAGTGAACGACGCATTGGTCCTCTTCCTATGTGCATATGCACCTAATTTCTCAGCCGAGGTAGGCTGAGTGTGATCCTGAGAACAGACATGGTGGCTTTGCTACCAGCTGTGTGATCCTGGAAGCCAGTGGCCCTCTACTGTCTCTTTATCTCCACCATAAAATGAAGGTATGGATAATACCTGCCTTCTAAGACCATGAATGGGGAAACAAACAGGAAGAACACATATGCCTGTGATGTAAGCTATCATCGTGGAGCAGCTATTATTTCCTGGAGACCAAATCCCAAACAATACCTCATCTCATGTTTGCAGCTCTCCACTTGTAAACCTGCAGCTGAAAATATTTTCATTTTTAAAGCTTATTGTTTATCCACTTTTACAGAATTTGTTCTTTGACAATTTTACGCATGTATATTGCAGATTGTGAATAAGTCCCTCTCCCCCCACACACACTCTCTCTAACATCACAGTTATTCTCTCTCTTCCCTACAGGTTCCTCTTCCACATTCATGTCTGTTCCCTTATTCATTCTAGAGCCACTAAGTTTAACCAGAACCATGGTTTGGAACTGTCCATTGAGGGGGGGTCCTTTGTGGTCCACAGCTAAATACAATGATTGCCCCTTCTCTGTAATTCATCAGCAGCCAATAGGGCTGGGTGGGTCCCTGTAAGCCTCTCCTGGATCCACGACTGACTACTGATAGCTCCAGTCTGTGCAGGCACACTGCCGGAAGCCATGCTGCTATGGGATACTGACTGCACTGGCTGTGCCATGCACAGAAGACAGCACTGAGAAATCATCTTTTATATTCTGCTACTCTTGGGTTTAAAACTATATGAAGAAATCAATAAAAAGCAGAGGATTAAACACAACCCCATACTAGTCATATCTAGCAGTAGTAAATATTCAATACAAATGTAGTCAAGATGGAGAGAACAAATGGGAGAAGACTGCTTACCTGGTGGTAGGAGATGGGGACAGGCCTCCTGAAGACAATCCACTCCACGATTTCACTACAGGGAGGGGTGGTCAAGGAGCCTGTGTACCGGTAGTAGCTACCCAGGGATGCGGGCAGGAGGTCTCGGAGGACAAAGGGATCCAGAAAGGTCTCCTTCTCTGTTTGGGGAGAGAAGTGAGAAAATCACAACCCTGTGACACATCATGCCTCCAATACACAACTCAAACCCCAGGCCCACTCACACCCCACCTGGCCCTCAGAAGCACTGCCCCCTGGTGGCAGGAGGACCTCAGAAGTTGAGGCAGCCAGCCTGTCAATACAGTCTGCATTTCCTATAGACAAGGTTCTACAAGGCAAGGAAAGGTGAGGTGCAGCACCATGGTCCCTCCCCACTCCCTAGGAATCAGAACTTTCTGGCATAGTGAAGACTGTGACAAGTCCTACAGAAAAGCCCTGCCCAAGCTTGCTTTATTTACAACAGAAGCCTTCTCTGTCTAGAACCTATAAACTAATACCCAGGAGAGAAAACTTGGAACAAAACGAGACAATTGCTACAACAAACAAAACAAAACAAATAAACAAAACCACCCATAAGCTAATGGGATACTCATTTCCCAAGCGGGCCATGCTCTTCCCAATGCATTCAGCGAAGGCATGCTGGTTAGTCTCTGCAGTCAACTTGACTGGATTAAGAAACACCTAGGACATTACTGAAGCACACCTCTGGGTGCTTCATCTGAGGATGTTTCCAGAGAGGACTGACTGATGCAGAGGGAAGCCTACCCACCCTAAATATGGTCCCATTACATGGGCGCGAGGCGTGTGTGGTGCATGGTCCTGTGGAGGCATGTGAATGCTTGCATGTAGAGGCTCAAAGTCAGCCTCTTCTCAAGCAGTATTCACCTTGTCTTTGGGACAGGGTCTCTTCCTTGCCTGGAACTCACTAATTGGGCGAGGCTGGCTAGTCAGTGAACCCAGGGTACAGGCCCATCTTTGTCATCCCCACACTTGGTCTGCAAGCTTGCTCCGTCACCCCAGATGGTTTTTAAGATGTCTTCTGGGGATCATACTCAAGCTTGTACAGCAAGCACTTCCCTGACTGAACTATGTCTACAGCGCACAAGTATGTACTTTACAATGCATGACCCGACCCTTGTGAAAATCAAGGCACGACAAAGCCAAACATGGACTCCCAGGTCACAAGAGGGCAGAGAACAGTGGTCACTTGTGGAGGTTCAGCAGCGGAAGCCCATTCTCCTAGGAGTTTTAATTTTATTTAAACAGGAAAGATTACCTAATACATGCAAAAGTCTTTAAATTATAGGGTTTGTAATCAAAATCATGCAAAACAGTGCTCCCAATTGAACAAAAGGTGAAAAGTAAAGGGCTTGCCTCTCCACCCCCTGGCAAGTCTGCTCTTTAATTTTACCTGGTTAGCAGGGAGCCAAATCACAGGACCACCTATCAAAATGTGCTCGGCTGGGAATGGTTTGGCTGGGAGAAGGACTGTTTTGGCTTGTGCCTGCTGCTTGCCTTGGTGTTTCCTGGCCCATGAAACAGCCAACACAAAGCTTGGAGCCCCCGGAGGGTGTGTACAGGGCTTGGCATCACGAGCAACAAAATTGCCACTTTCCTGTCTCCCTTGAGCAGTAGATGAACTCGGCATCACACCAGCCTGTGCTGGGATTAGGAGCTCCAAACTGCAAGATCAGAAAAACCTGCAGTTTCCCTCTAGGGGCCTAATCCCTAGATTAGGTTTTCAGGTGAGCAGACTGTGTGTGTGTACCTTCAGGATGAAACAAGGTAATCCAGGCCAGCTCTAACAAGCAAGAAAAGATGAAGCAGCAACCTGCCCCCCAACAAAGGAGTGGGGTGATGCAATATCAAAACAGAACAGTGGTGTGGTGGCAGCAAGACTCAAGTGTCTGGGAGTTTGCATGATCTTGTGAGAACTACAAGTGTGGGCCCTGCTGTATACTCAGAAGAGAGCCCTGGCCTCGATGTGCTCAGCTTTGTGATGGAGCTGTGTCCCATTTCTCCATTTGGTCACCCACTCCACCCACCTAGAAGACTTGTAATTGCCCTAGGTAGAGAGGCTTGGGGAGAGATACTACATGTTTCTTCTGGAAAACCACTATTCAGGAGCCCAGCAACCCTAACATCAAAAAACATAGCTACTATGACCACAGTCGAGTTGGAGACCAAGAGTCACTACTCTCAGAACCGCCGATTTAGTTCAGTTTGTTAATATTACAATTGGGAAGATGAAGGCCACGGAGAAATAACTGAGCTGGGGTTAAAAGCTTGATAAGAGTAGAGACTCAAGTATAATTCCTCCCTAGTATTTGGAAAAGCAATGCCTTCAGGACCTACACCCCACCTAGAGCTTTTTCAACTTGACTACTAGTGCCTTCAGGGTAGACATTTGTCTATGCCAAGCCTCTAGCCCGAGCTACAGAATGCAATAATATCTAAAAGCTGTGCAACTTTAGGTAAAAGCTTTGGCTTCTCTGGGCTATTTCTATAATACATAAAATAGTGACCAGGAGATTTTATACCCTTCAGGGTTGCTATGACAATTAAGAAGTTACTTGGTGTAAGGGACTTAACCTAGTGCCTGGTCCACTGTAAGCCTTCATTTATCAAGGCAGCCCTTGGATGAGGGCAAGCACAGCAGAGTCCCATGCTAGCCTCTGCCGTGTTTCTAAGCAAGGAAAGCAAGCTTCCTCTGTAAAGCAACAGACTGCAAATATTTTAGGTTTTGCAGGCCAAGAGGTAAAAATCTAAGATATCATGTTAGGATTTATGTAACAGAATCATTTTTACAATCTTATTAGGGACGTTCTAAATTCTAATAATAATTGCATACACCCTTCAAAATATGTCTGCATTAATGAGAACTGTAACTCATACTGGAGGAATAACATTTTGCCTAATTAGAGATGCAGTGTAAAAGCTCAGGGGCTGTGCCAAAAATGCCAGTAGAAAGGATTGGGCTTTCTCTTCAACTTTTGCCTATCTCTATCTTTAAGTTCTGGAAGGGGACCCACACAATGTGACACAAATATCACCCTGATAAGCCATAGGCAGACTTGTATAAGGGTCAGGGAAGCTATGTGTTCAGGCACCATCATCACTTTTTTATTTTTTAAATAACTTATTTAACTTTATTTTATGTGCATTAGTGTGAAGATGTCAGGTTCCCTAGAACTGGAGTTACAGACAGTTGTGAGTTGCCATGTGGGTGCTGGGAATTGAACCCGGGTCCTCTGGAAGAATAGCCAGTGTTCTTAAGTGCTGAGCCAATTCCCCAGCCCCTCATTACTTATTTTGTTAACAGTATAATTGAGACAGTGTTTTGCTATGTAATGCAGGACAGTCTTCAACTTGAGAATGGACCTGACATGACAGTATTCTCCAATCTGATTTAGCCATAGGTATAGAACCAACAGAATCCAAGCATGAGATTCTTGATAACAGGAAGGGGAAGATGAATGAACACATTTCCAGCTGAGAACTTAGCTCTTTGTGAAGCTCTTAATAATGCAGATATTAGGGAGCAGGGAGCCTTGCTCCAGCCAAGCCAAGTAGGCTAGCTTCTCCCAATAAGCTACTGTACTTCTCTCTAACTGATGACGTATCTCTGAGACAAGATAGTCAGAGTGCCCAGATATGGGAGTCTGAGCAGTAACCAGTTAACATTAATTAAAAGGTTAGAACAGCACTTGGCATTGAGAGTGCCCATGAGTGCTATTCAATGAAACTTGTCTGTCTTGTGATATTATAGGAGTTGTGTGGCTCCACACCCACTGAGAGCTGAGTACTCCCCCAAACTTCTAGACTAATTAGTAAATTGACTCCAAAGAATTTTTATTGCAGTCACTTACTAGTTGAGAACATATGACACACTATACTTCTCCGGCCATTCACTCAATTATACCATAATAAGCAGGTACTGTAAACTACTAGATAAAAGAATTGAAAAGGAGTGAGTCTTCTGTTCCACTTTCAAGGATCCTGGGTGCTGTACGCAGACAATATTGTATTTTAATAATTAATTGTTCATCAAAGAAAAAATGAGGAACAGGGATGCTAAATTCAAAGTTATTCAAATTGCAGAAATGAATAATGCATGACTTTTATATTAAATACACACTGTATTAAGTAGTCTACATTTCACCCAACTCTGTCTTTCATTTTTTAAGCATTTTGAATGACAATATGAATAATCAGTTAGGGGAGGTTTGTTTGGAAAAAGGAATACCTTATTTGAATGCAAATGAAGTATATATGAAGATGATTAAATTTTTCTTATCAATTAGGAAATTTTGTATGAGGGCCTTAAAGTCATGGTCGGCCATTAAGCTCAGCCCAGTCCAGTTATCCTTGCAGCTTCCTCTCAACATTAAATTATATCTGGCTCATTCTGTTCAATTTCTTTTTTCTGATAGCAGTGCCAAGAGGCAATTTTTAATTAAAGAAAATTTGAAAGATTCAAACATGCATAATTGGATTAAAAATGTGATCATTAAAACATTAGATGATAATCATCTGATTGATTGCATTTTTCAGTGTGTTAATAACTTAATATTTGCAATGCTTTGGTTACATAGGGACAAAGAAGGTTCTTTATAAAATACGCTGAATAGTCAACATATAGAAGTGTGGAATTTGCCAAGCATGGTGGCATACACTGTTATCCATAGAGAAGAGAGGAATAGTCAAAAGAAGCAAGAATAAGACAACATTACTTATTCTAACTTCCTAACAGGCACACTCTTGAGGAAAACTCAGAATTATCTGCAATGGCATAAATAACTGATGTGGTTGTTCAGGTCAAGTGACATTGGTTTATAGGATGAAGATCCTAAAGAACCCAGATCCCCAAATGCAAACACAGAGAGGACAGGGATGATAGCATAGTCACACAATCATACTGCAAAGCCACCTGGCCTCCTTGACTACGATACTGGTTTCAATTTACCAAGCACGGCATTTTAATCTACAGTTGATGTTCAAATACAACAAAGAGAAATTATGTGAGGATCACACAAAGAGAAATGGATGTGGCACTTAGCCTGCAGGAGTTATGTAATGATGAATCCAGGACCACCCCAAGTAGTTCAGGGCTTGTCTCTCTTATCTACAAGGCCCTGGA